ATAAGCTTGCTTAAGCTTGTCGAAAACTCCAGTTTTGACACTTTATATAGCAAGCCCGAGTGCCATGTAGTATCAAAGGCTTTTTCGGTGTCCAAGAACACCGCCATGTGCTTTTGGAATATTTGCAGAATCACTTTCTCCAGTAGTTTTCCTGTTGTGGACAGGAGGCTAATCGGACGTACATTTTGAGGGAATTTTGGGTCATTACCGGGTTTCGGTGAGTCTGTGACTTTTGCTTCCTTACAGCGACTTGGAAAATGGGACAGCCAATGACAGTGATTGAATAAATGTGTCAAATGTACAAAAGGTCGCCTTGGAAGATTCATTTGGAATGCCATCAATTCCGTAGGCCTTTCTAAATTTCAAAGAATTTATTAATTTCTGTAAGTCACATGGTCTTATCCTCTGAGGGGGGCTGTTGTCTACGTCTTCGAGTAGAGCTTGAACTCTAGCCTCCACCCGCCGTTCATGGTTTTCATCACACAAATGATGTTCTGTGAACCGAATTTCTAAACAGTCAGCAATTGCGTTGGCTATCTCGGATGGGTGAAATTTAAGGCCTAGCAGTAGCTACTCAATTTTATCGTGTCACACAGCTGTTGCCAGGCAATGGCTGACTCTCTGGCCCCACAGTTCGTACTTTGAGCGCAAATACCAAGATACTTAAGTGGTAACTGTTGGCACCAGTGGCGGGCTCTTGTGGACACGGTACTGAACTTTCAGGTTCCATAAACTGCTGGGAATATCTTGACTAGCTTGTCAATTGTTACGTTCTCAATAATGACTCAGATGCACAGAATTAGATAGAAACTAGTTAGTTAGAGAACCTAATTTCCTCTGAAAAGGGCACTGCTCTATTCACAGATATGTTCAGATGCAAACGAAATGTCCGCTCAATGAAATAACTTGTCACTGCTCACGTTAACACCTCTCAGAAGAGGGTCCTGCTAAACGTTATTTTTCGGTGTTGAATTTTTTAATACTGTCACGATTTTAGTGACTATTGACGACTCGCAGGGCTGCTTATAACATTTCGGCACGGACCGAATACAAAACACCGTTTCCAACAGTTATTCCATTCTTGTGTTCATGTCTGCTGTGGTGACCACGTGATCGCTACTGAGCCATGGCCTAGCAACGGCCATTGTTTGAAGAGCCATTACTTAACAGTGGCTGTTATATAGTTCCTTATTTCGCGGTCGTTGCCTAGCAGCGGTTCTACATGCCACATGACTATTCTATTAAAAACGGAGACAGACGTAAGTATCAGTCTGATGCGACGAACAGTTGTGACTTTTTGGAAGGCGTTAACTGATATTAGGCACTGAGACCCCCTCTTAAATGTTAGGCAGCTTGTCCGGGTTGGCATTCCTTACTCAGATATGCTACATGCACGCACGCACGCGCGCGCCGTATAAATAAAGGCGCCGAGTACTTGCTGGCGCCAATCTGTGATTTGAGTTTTAATCCACACGCTGGTGCCCTGAATTATGAAATTCTTCTTGGCACACGAATCTCTCATACTTCATGCATAGGTTCGTCTTTCTGGTTAGGAATTCTATCACCACCACGCCATCATCTTCCGTCGTTTCGAACTCGCAAATGTCCACACAGAAATTCTGTTCAGAATTGTTTGAACGCCATGTGCTGTATTGCCGACTGAGCGCAAGAACGTGTTTATGCTTGCCACGTGTTATTGACAGAGAGATAGGGGATTTCCACTTCTACAGACCACCCACGGGTTTCGCTAAACTTAAGCACGTGGGTACCAAACATCAACACTTTGAGTCTATTACTTAAGAGCTTCCCTTTTTTATCGACTCAAGTTTAGACTAAGTTATGGGCTGGTTCTCATGAAACAGAGATTGTATTGTGGGCAAGAGAGTGTTGGATTGTGTTGTGGTTTCTTTGCAGTGAACTAGGTGTGAAGCTGTGCATGTCGGAGTGATTTCAAGAGGCGAAGTGTTGAAGTGGCGATGTATATGAAAATGTCATTCATGTCTGTGCATATGGCTCAGAGGCTGGATACTTATTCCTATCAATAAGAAGGAAAGGGCATTGACGCCAGTGCTAAGTGCACAGGAAACACTTCCCGTAAGTAGGATTTGTCATCACGACAGTGGCTGCCCCCTCCTTCTGAATTCCAGAGAATAAAGCATACACCCCCAGTGGTAAATATGACTGCAGTTGGTGGGCGGCTCTTATGCTATGTATCTTGCTGTGGTTTTCTCATGGATTTCCGCCGCATCTGTGGTCTAGTAATCAGAGCTCCTGGCTACATATGTAGAGGTCCCGGGTTCAATACCCGGTGCTGCCGGAATTTTTGAGATTTGGATTTGGATTTGGAACGGGGCCCACTCACCCTCGTGAGGATAATTCAGGAGCTACTTGAATGGAAAAGTAGCGGCTCAGAGAAACGAGATTGACGGCCATGGGAATCCGTTGCGCTGACCACGCCACACCCTCTATCCGCCAAAGTTGGCACTAACTTCGCCGACAAGTGGCGGTCGCTCGTTCGGTATAGTTCGCTTTCGGACTAAAAGCCACGGAGTTTTTTTTTCTCCAGACTATTGTGCGGTAGTAACCACAAAATGGGCGATTCCTTCCCGTTCAGGAGGGTCAAATTTTCCTCTCAATTCATTCAAGATAAATGACCTTTACATATCGTACAGTTTTTTTTTAAATAACCTGCGAACTTGACACATTCCAGGACGTTTCTCTGTCGACCTTGTCCCCGAAACATTCGGAACGTAACTTGTACCGCTTTCTGCATGCCATAAGCAGACAAACAGAAAAGTAGAGAGGTAAAGCTGTGCCTGTAACAGGCCGTGCAGGCCCAGAGGGCTGTGAGACGTCGAGGTTCCCACATTTTCTAGACAATCGGTTCACAGATGGCGGTGAGTTTGTCAGACTTACGCGCCGGCCGCCCTTTACGCCCAGGAAGATTCCTGGTACTCATTTCTGTTAGAGGCCGAGTCGACCCCATGGCCATAGTGCGGGTGGAAGGATTAGGTAAATTAAAAATATCCAGTGACCTCATTGGGAATTGAACCCGCTGCCTTCTGGCTTATAGCATAGTGCCTCAACCAACTACACCACCGCGATCATAAACAGATAAGCAGCAAGTGAACAGTGGGAATGTTAAAATCTCAAATTGATCTGGTCCTCTGGGAAGTCCCAATTATGTGGGCCCGTCTGCCCAATATAGACCTTGCCGCAGACGGGTCGCTCCGTGGACACGAGGTTGAAGGAGCATCAGCGGCACATCCGTCTCGAACAACCGGGCAAGTCGGCCGTAGCTGAACACAGCATCGATCTGGGACACCGCATTCAGCTTCAGAATACCTCCATCCTCGCCACCAAGACCCGCTATATTAATCGCATCATTAAGGAAGCCATTGAGATCGAACTCAAACCCCCCGGGACATGACGCCAGATCCACAAGGCTACACAGGCCATGACCGACTAACATAGCAACCCCCCA